TCAGGCAGAATTCCCCTTCTTCAGATGACTTCAAAGCACGCACGTGGGAAGCGACTTGTCCAGCGTACAGTGGCTAATCTGGAAGGGGATTGAGAAGTCTTATTTCTAAGCCTCTGCTCTAATTGCCAGGTTTTACATTACCTCTCTTCGTTCTTGACACAAAAAAAAAATGGAAATCAAACCCCCTTTACAGCCTAGTTTTCAGTTTCTCTTATTTTCTGCTTCTTCCATCTGTTCTGCAGCGTAGAAATTGTCAGCTTGATATTTCCAGCCAAGAGTTCTTAATAGGAATTTATATGAATATGATTAATATGGCCTATACTATACAGATGCCCATTTTGTCTAAATTGGGATAGCTATGATTAAGAAATTACTTACCTGCAGCAGATTTCCTCTTTGGGGTTACCTGTTTTTCTGCAGGCAGGGTCTCATTTCCCTGCATCACCCTGGCTCCTCATGGAGAATGGCATTTTTAGTGTGTGGATCTGCTGAATCTTCAGCTGGCTTAGAAATCTGCTTCTATTTTGAAGATACATTTTCTCTGGTATTAAATGATGAAATTTAATTACATTAAATTACAAAAAGTGCATGCTTAGGCTTGAACGTGTGGAAAAATGCATTATTATTGTCAGTCATGGCCTATAGTTTCATATGATCAAACACATTACATGTAAAAGTTAATCTTTCTCTTTATGGCATGAGTTAATTTGTGGTATGCATGCTAGCTTCAAAATGTGTGTATGTTTGGATTTTTTTCCCCACAGTTTTTGACGATGAAGAAGAAAGCAAGTTGTCTTATACAGAAATCTACCAAGAGTACCAAGCTCTGGTGAGCATTATTCCCAATTTGGGCTAAACTTCTGAGAAATGTAACTTAAACTGTTCAAGCAGTATTTAGATGAACTTCTGGTTGTGTTACCTGTGTTACTTATAATTTTAGAATATTGCCTGTTACAAGTGTTACTTAGAAATCCTTTGAGTCACAGTTATATGCATTTTTATGCTTAAACACTAGATATGCAGAAAAGAAACTCACACACAATCTTACACTGTGTATTTTTCATCATGAATCTATCTGTTAGCTAAAGTACTGAACTTATAGGCTTGATAATATTCATATTTTCTGTCAAGATAAAATGGCAGAATGTCTGAGAACATGTTTTGATGTGTATTTTGTTCACCAGTGGTAAATGCTTTGAACTAACTTTCAATTAATTGAAAAAAAAAATGCAGGTTTTTGAAACATTCTTAAATTACCTATAAACTAAAACATGCAGATTTTGAAATTTATTTTGTTTTTTTTGGTATCAAGACTTGGTAACACTTGATGTTAAAAAGCATCAATGGAATAAATACAGACCAATGTCCATTTTTGCTCTGATCCTAAAGGATCTCAGGCACACAGAGTGGTAAAAAGCCTTTCACCTACAGGGCTAAAAAGGACAAAAAATACTAGCCAGGAATCTGGGGAAAAAGTAGAGAAGTGAGATTCTTGGAAATTGGAGAAGTTAAACTGAAAGTGGGATCAAACATAGCAATAAAAATGCTTATTCTGAACAGTTCATGAAAGTAAATAAAGCCTGAAATATCAGAAATACATCATCAGAAGAGTTCTACTATTGCAGGGATTTTCCCTGGGAACTTTAAAAAGCCAGCAGAAAAAAACCCACACAGTTATGAAAAAAATTCAAATGATTCTTAGGGGATAAAGCTCTTAGAAAGTAAGGGTTATACTTTCTTACAGGTGGAAAAATTATTAGAAGACTATCTTAAAGAAGTTGGAATTAATGAAGAGAAATTTCAAGAAGCGTTTTCATCTCCTCTTGCAAGGACACACACTTCACAGGTAAAGTTTCCTTTGTTTAGGAACATAGAGATTTAATTTTTAGCTTTCTATTTCCACTATATAGCAGGGTTGAGATAAAACTTTGACGTTTTCTTGTTAAAACTGTAATTTTCTAAAACATAATGTCTTTGTTTCTATTATGGACTTTGACCAGGAAAAATGCACCTAATAATGACAGATAGTTGTGTCAGACCTTTCTGAGATTTATCTTCCATGCTTTGTATTTTCTAAAACATCTAAGCTTAGGGTGTCTATTTGTCAGCTTTACCTTAGTCTTCAGTTTATTTACAGTAGCAGACAAAGATTAAAACAACAGACACTCCAGGGAGTCAAATTACAGTTGTAAACTTACAGTGGGGAGCTCCTCAGGTTTTGTGATAATGTTGTAGACATGTTGGTCTAAAGACTTAAACCATCCAGCTCTTTTTGTGACCAGCTCAACTTGTATGGCTGGAAAACTAGACAGATAGGAAAATTAAATATAATTATTAAAAACATGCTCCACAGAATTGCAATCTTGTCAGTTTGGGCAAACTGAGATGGTTCTGACTTCTCTAAGGTTTTAACTGTGTGCATATCTTCCCTCCCACAGGCCATTTTGCAAACTGTGTTGGCAGCAGAAGACTTTAGACTATTTAAAAAAATGATGGTACAGAAAAATATTGAGATGCAATTGCAAGCTATTAGAATCATTAAGGAAAGGAACGGTAAGCAGTGGTACATGCAGGGCTTCACCTCTCTGCATCTTTGTGCTGGTCTTTGGAGAACCACGTGCAGAAGTGCATATAGAAGAGTGGTTCAGTTCCACCTCATGTTACTGGAGAGCATGCACTTCATTTCACTGGGATGAGGATTTCAAGACTTAGTCCTTGGCTTGTACTCTTAGGGAGAAATGTCTGGATTCCTTTTTAAGTTATCAGATTTTTCTTGGTTCTTTTTTCCTGGCTAAATTTTTCTGTGAAATGTTGAATTTTAATTTTTTTTTAAAGAATTCTGGTGGTCATTTTGGGTGTTAAACAATTACATCAGTTCATCAACAATGACAATAGGGATACTTGGAATTATGCTGCTTGTACAGCAGTGATGCTGTGCTCTCTGCTGTGCTTGCTTTGCAGATCACACTGCACAGCTCCATGTGAAAAAATCCCTCTAGAAAGCAGAATGTAGATAAATACAGAAAGGAGAATGTAGATAAATACAGAAGGAAGAATGGCCCTCATCATGCTGATACATATATGCTTTTAAAGCAGAGAAAATCACTGACACCCAACACTGCTGTGCTCTGTCAATGTTTCTGAAAAGGATTTTCATCTACCCACTCCTTTCTTCTATGTCTTCAGTTTTACTATCTTGTTTTTCCTTCTTACTGCATGCATATTTTTTTTCAGAGAATGATTTTTAAATTTCAAGCATCATATAACAGCTAAATTTGCAAATGGTTAAGTCAGCCACAGCTGAATTGCAGTATAGGGAATGACATATCATGGTCAATGCAGAGTATGGCTTATGCTCTACCCTGAGATGGCAAAACTTCCATAGCTCAGAAACTTTTGCATTTTTGTGACTAGCCACTTGATGCCCAAGGTCTAGAGTCTTTTTGGAAACAGTTACAGAGAGGAAGAATTACATGTTGTGTTGTTTTTTTTTCCCCTTTCTCCTCTCTGCCTGAAGGAGGATGCCAAATGGAGTACAAAATATTTGTCTTTAGAGTAATGCATAAATTTTGCTATTTTATTTTTGCAGGTGTATTGCCTGACTGTTTGACAGAGGGCTCTGATGTGTTCAGTGAAATTGAACAAGAAGAAATGAAAATACTGAGGGAGGTTCTAAGGTAAAAAATGACTCAGCCCTGCTTAGTATGTTGTTTTAAAATAAAATATAAGGGTATGTAGGACCCTCTTCCAGCCTTTCCCAGGAAACTTCCCTCAACTTACAAAACACAGGGAACGATAGACTGAGGATGGTGGGTTCTCTATGTTTATCATAATTATTTATTTCTATTAAGACTGCATTTTCATTTAAATAATGGAAGGATTTTGGACATGAAAATTTGTGTTATCTTGTAATTTTTTGATAGTCCTCAAATATTTGACACTGTTACTAAAGGTGTCTTGAGTATTTACTCCTATTTTCTGTTACAGGAAATCAAAAGAAGAGTATGAAATAGAGCAAGAAAGGAAAAGGGCTGAAGAAGTGAGTATCTGACCTTTCCAGATGAGTTACACTGGTGATTAAGAGGTACTTTGATATTGCTGTCCTGGGTGTCCACTCTGTGGCTTTAAGACAACGTGTGCCATGCTAAGCAAAGAAAAGCTCTGTCACAAGGACTTACTGACACTGCTTTCTGAAAGGTCCACTCTGGTGTTTGTATCTTCCCTTGATGACACTGGTGCTGTACATGACCATTAGCTGTCAGTCTTTTGGTGAAGCTGACATGAGAAGCATATTCCCACTCCAGGGTCTGAATTCTAAAGCCCTGGCAATGGATGTCAACCTTTCAGATCCAGAGAACATCTGCATTACTAATATTGTCAAGATCAAAGAGACTTCTAAGTGTAAGCTCCTTAAAGATTACAGCATTCATAATCCTTCAGGAATTTTAAGGCTCACTTCATAGATAGTGTAGTTATTCACTAAGTCTGCACAGTGCTGCCAGAACCCAATCACCAGGATCCAGAAATCCTCTCCAGGTTAGACATCACTTGGTCTCCCTCAGAGTAAACCCCATAGAAAGCTAACTGAATGTAAAGAGGGACTGGCTAAATTGCCAGACATTCTGCAACTGAGAAAAACTGAAGCTGAAATGTGCTCCAGTGGAATGCTGGCAGTGCACCTCCCCTTCATGGGGAAAACAGCCAGAAATGGCTCCCCAGTGCCTGGCACTGTGGAACAGTGGTGGCAAAACAGTTCCTTCCCATTGCAGTGGTAGGTTCCAGGAAGTGAGTCACCTGTGCTGCTGGATTTCTTTCAAAACCACCAGGAAACTGAGCTTTCAAGTTGTATTGAGATGCAGGCTTATCCAGATCTTTACAGACCACCAAGAGTATTAATATTCTTGCTAAACAAGGCAGATCATGGAGGCCCCAATCCAGTCCAGCTGGACAGAGAAGGTCGTAGTTACTGTTCAATAATTAGTTTTTGTTAGAGAATGTTTTAATGTAAAACAACATGATATTTTGATATCATGTTTGGGCTGTTCTGACATGATGGTTGATGAACAGCACAGACATTTTTCTGGGCCAATCCCAGCTGGCTTTACTGTTTTGAGAGGTGGTTTGTGGTGTCAAGACCTTCTAGACTAGTGCAGAAGTGAAACAGTGGTGTCAGAGGTTATCCAGACCTGTTGTTTCCATTTAGCTGAGAATTTCTCCATTTCTGTGGTAACTTTGGTGTGTGCTCCTGGTCCTGTTTACTCTGTTTGTGGTAGACAGACATCTGCTTGGAAGTCACAGGCAAAATGTACAAACAGATAATATGGGGAGGGGGGTTTTGCCACATGTGGAACAAAATAGCAACTTATCTAATATTCTAAATCCTGATTGCTGATTAGGGAGGTTTTGAACTAAAATAACAGATGCTGACTTACCAGAAGAACCTTCCTATTAGTAAAACCAAATAAGTAGTTTGCTTTTGTTCTCTTTGACAATGCAGTGTGTAGCATAAACAGCACATTTGGAACTGCAAGTTCTTTTGAGCATTTTCTTTGTGTTAAGAGTTGAATGCCTGCAGCAGAGTGCCAGGAAATGTAATGCTTGGCTTTGTTTGGTTTTTTCATTTAAGGCACGTGATAAACATAAATCACCAGACATTACCAACAGTTTACCAGGAGATTCAAGAGAAGCTGTAAAAGTTAAAGAGCCCACTGAGGGAGCTGATGCTTCTGAAGAAACTCCAAAATTTCCATTAGGTAATTTTATGGGAAGGTGGAATATGATACTATGTTCAAATCATTGTATCTATGTGCATAGCCATACCTGGGTGATCCTCAAAATCAGCTTGCATTTCAGTGAGAACTGTTCTCTTAGGAGTTTGTGAAAAATTTATGACAATATTCTCAGATCACTTCCAAGAATAGAATTCCAACTTGGGGAACTAACAGTCTGTGCTGTCTTTAGTTCTGTTTTTCCTGTGTCTCATACTTGTTTTTGTACGTGCTCCCACTGGAGGTTTTTGTATCACAGACACCTGGGCTGGATGCTTTTAGCCTTGGTAGTTCCTTTGGGCCATACTTGCTCCTTGCTTTTTCATGTGATGGCCATTAACATGCAGTGGTTGTAGGACCCTCTTAGACTTGAGTTCGTGTTCTTCACATTACAAAACTTAGAAAGAATAACTTGTGTCACTGGCCTTTTCAATATCTTTTTTTTCCTCCCTTTTGCTGTTTTCATTACATTTATTTGCACTCTTCTCTCCCTTCCACCCTTTGAAGCATGCAGAGGGACAGCAGGGACACTTCCTTCTTCTCTTCTCCCAGCCTGTTTCTGTTCCTCCAGCATCTCCATCACAGCATCACCGTGCAGTGGCACCTCTCAGCTACGTCTGTCTGCAGTGGCTCTTTCCCTGGCTCAGGGGAGGGCACATTTCTAGCAAATACTCTGCCTGTGGGACTTAATCTTGTGCTGGAGAGACAGGACAGAGTCCTCATCCTTGTAGAACTTGCATCTTGTGGCAGTGTAGCTATCTGAAGATGCTATCAGGAAGGTTTGTCACAGCTTATCCTTCTTAGAAATGTGGTTTTGGATAGTGGTGGCAAAAATCAGAAGAATCTGTACCAGGAATCATCTTCCAGACCCCTTTCTGACACAGAACCAAGGACCAGCCTCCAAACCAGTCTGTTATTGCTCATTTCCAAAGCATGGGCTCCCAGCTAAAGGTTCATCTTGGATAATGACCACATCCTCTGCTTGACTTGCTTCCTCTTGGTGCCAGATACAACTCTGGGAAAAGAAACAGCAAGAACCTTTCAATGAAGCTTTGTGCTCCTCTAGTGTGGCAGAAGAGCTGCTCTCCTCGCACCTTGGTTGGTCCCTGACCTGCTCAGCCCACCAGACCTCAGCTCCTGGCTCTGAGTTCTCACTGACCAGCTTGTGCTCCCAAGAACAGGGCAGTTTGCCTTTCCTGACCCAGGCACAGGGAGGAGCCCCACACCTCGTGGCAGCACGGCCCTTCCCTGGGCCCATTCTCAGTCAGGGACAGGAAGAACTATTTTCCATTGTTCTTTCCCTTCCCTCCAGCCTGCTGCACATTCCCCTTCCTTCACATACACAGTGGTGTTATTATCTTTTGCTATTTCCTTCACCTCAAGACCCAAGATTTCAGTTTGTGGAGCCCTTTGACTTTCCCACTATATAATACATTTAAATAGGATGGTAGTTGCCTTAATTTTCTTAATTTCACTTTGGTGACCTGCCTACAAATAGTTCACAGATGAGAGCTTGCCAACCCATTCCTCCCATACTTGGACCACCTAACCTGCTGCAGTACAGAGAGCTCAGGAGGGGGACTTCAGTAGTGAGGGGGACACTCGCCACCTCGGGGTGCAGGTGGCCTCCCCAGCATGGCTGGAGGATGTTTCCCTTCCTGGGTACCTGTGGGGAGCTGCCTCTGGAGCTGTGCCAGGTGGGCAGGAGGACACATTACCTGCTGGGGTGGGCCCAGCCTGCCTCTGGGGAAGGCTCTGGGATCATTGTCCACGTGAAGAGAGTGTGGCTTGGTCACCCAGAGTGTGCATGTACACACAGGCACTTTGGAGCTTCTCTTTGGAGAGGACTCTTTGGAGCATCACCACTTGCAGCAGTCATATTTCAGTGAAATGCAAATTCTTCCACGTGCCCTTTGTTTCACATTTCTGTCCTCTCCCACTTTCCTTCCCCTTGCTTTTCTCCCTGCCTTTTCACAAGTATATATCTTGTAATTTTCTGTACTAAAGAAAGTGTTGAAGAGCCAGATATTTACTACTTGCTCTGACTTAAACAATGGAGAGGTGTTTGCCCTGCACTAGCTTCACTGGAGGCCTTAGGAGAGTCCTTGTACCTTAACACTTCTCTGTAAAATTACTGTTTAGAGCCATCCCAGAAACCTGTGAGGGAAGACTTAAAACCAGTACGGCCACCACAAAAAGGACCAGCAAGCTCACCTCAGCCCTCCTGCACCAAGGGCAGGGAGGACACCAAGAAAAGGTCAGCTGGGAAAGGCTCAGAAAGCACAGCACAAAACGCTGGGATCAAAGGACCAGTAAGTTTAAAAGAAACCAACAAGAAAAAACACCCCAGTGTAGAGCTAGAATGCAAAAAAAACAGGATTACATCTAAAATATATGTTTAAGACTAATACAGTTAAATATATTTTTCTTTTCTATTATTGTAAACAGGTGGATTTGGTTTGTGTTATGGCATTCACCACTTGAACTTGCATAAAGTTCAGACCATGATTCTGGTTTCAGAACAGAACTCAGCATTCAACCTTTGTCCCATGATAATTTCTTAGTGGATAGCTCTGGCTTAAAACCTCAATTAGGATTTTCAGCGAGTAGTTTTGGGAGGCAGATATGATGTAAGTGCTTTTATCTCACAAACACATAACATGCATACCAAAAATTAATTAACAAAAAAATAAAATTACAGAATTTCTCAGAAGTTGAAGAACAGCAGCTGAAGCAACGAGAGGAATACCTAAAGAAAAAACGAGACCTGCTGATGGCTGCAAAGAAGGAGTCAAGAAATAATGTCCTGTTGCCAACAAACACTGAGCAGAAGGAGGAGTCGTCTCCCAAAGAGGTGAAGGAGTCAAACATTTTAATCATCCTGACCACTTTCTGAAAAAAAAAAACAACAAAACAACAAAAACCAAACCACGGATCATTTCACTGAAGGTAGCAGTGTTGCTGCTAGGGTTGTAGCAGGATAAAAAAAGGACAAGTGGGGGAAGTAGAGAAGTATTTTCAAGTTGCAGTTTTTGCAGAAGCTTACAGACTAGAAGTTGCAGTGATCATTAATTATTATTTTGCCTCAGGATCAAATCCTTATGATGAACTTGATTTTATGAACAGCTAAAATGCTGATTTTTCTCCTTAGCTGTGACTTACTGGTTGGGCTTTTTATGATTAACTTGAGTTCATGAACAGCTGAAATGCTTTTTCTTCTTAGCTGTGACTTACTGGTTGGGCTTGCTTAAATCTCTGGGATTTTTTCAATTCCAGCTGAAATGAGAAAAACATTTTTCTCTGGCAAAGTGTAATGTTAGAGAAGGGCAGGAGGAGTGTGGGGTGCTGCTGGAGGGGCACAGGGGGCAGTTAGCCCTCCCCTTGAGGTCTCACATTGCCCAGAGCCTGTTCTCTGCTCAGGGACATGGGGGATTAACAGATACATTCATTGACTTTTAAGTGCTAAAATCAAAAATCCTGGCACTGTGGGGATGATAGAAAAATCCAGTTTGGGGAAAAAAGAAGCAAATCTTACCAGGGAAAGAAAGTATGGGCATGAAAAAGCCCAGAATCCTATGGCAGGATAAATCCATAACAATAGAGAGGTCTTTATTAAGAAAACAACTTTTTTTTTTTGTTAATCAGTGTTCCTGTCAACTTAATGCATGTACCACAAATAGGTCTATGTTTATATGAAAAAGAAATGCTTGAAAATTCTCAGCACAAATGAAGAAAGTAGTAAAAGACCTTAAAACCCACACAAAACAATGTGATCACTCCTATGTTTTAAACAGAAAAAAGCCCTTACTTTTCCTTACAGAGCAATTTATCACAGTGGTTTTTCCCTTTTCTTCTTAGGAAATGTCAGAAGAGAAGCAAAGGTTGCTACAGAAGAGGAGGATGCTTGCAGAAAAACTGAAAGAAGAAGTCATTAACAAGCGGTAGTTGTAAGCAGCTCATTGCAGACGCCAAGAACACGAGTATGTTTTTAGAATAAATTATATGATCCAGAAGTGACTGGATTTGTTTTCCAGCATTACACTTAGTTTTAGAACTTTCAGACAAGCAACTCGGTACTTGATATATAAATATTTGAAGTTATGCTGAAAAACACTAAACCCACTTCATTATCCAGGGTGCTGGAAGCTCCCTGGGCTGCACATCAGGCAGGTTTGCTCAGGGGCTGCCCTCAGCCACCTCACCCTAACCCTAGGGAGGCAGCCGAGAGCTGCTGGAACCATTCCCACGAGCTGGAAATGTCTAACTTTATTTTTAAAATGACAGCACTTTGTTCCTTTTGTTAGAATATTAAAACAAATCCCTATTTTTCAGCTGTGCAATGTAATGAAGTCTGATTTCACAGGGAAGTACAGCTATGAGCATCTTTTTGAGAAACAGTGAAGTCAAGATGCTGACCTGCTAACTCTGGATTACCTTTTTTTACATACTTTTGGGGCAGTTTATCATTCCTTAAGTCAAATTCTTTAAGTAGAAGTCACTGCTTTAGTTGCAAAGTATAAAGCTGGGGATGTCCTGAGCAATTCAAAGCAGCAGTATTTTAAAATCTTGTTTACAGACTTAAACTGGAGCTGGGAGAGGATGGTCGTTGCACCACACCATCCCATAGCTGACTGCAAGGGGAACTGGCAGGAAGAAAACCCCAACCCGGGCAGGTTTCACGTAGCTTTTTATTAAAATAGCATTTATGAGCGATACACGTTGGCAGATGCTGGGCTCTTCTCCAGAGTGGTCGTGGAGGGGCCCCAGGCACAGGAACATGGCTGCCCACCAGCAGAACCCCCCAGGTCAGTCAACAGGGCGAGAGCCCCACGGTGACAAGAGGCAGTTAAAGAATGCTGCGTGTCACCTTCTACAGGGACTTTTGCTTACTCTGATTTACAACGGGACATCTAATGCCACTTAACACAGTCTTTTTCTAGGAACTGTAAAAATGAACGACATTCTTGGCTTTGCTGAAAAAAAACCCCTCCTGTTGGTCTGAATGTATTTTTAAAGCTCCTGACAGTACTTCAGGGAAGAGCTGGGGTGGTGGGGGACAGAGCAAGGACTCACACGCTTGTTGGAGACCCTCGGAGGACGTGGTTTGAGGAGAACTGGGCCGACGACGGGATTGTTCAGCCTCAGGCTGGCGAAGGCACCGACTGCAGACTGCCGCCGAGTCGCGAGGCTGGCGCTGGGGCAGGTCCATCGTTGTCACTGATGGAGGAGAAGCCTGGTGGGGAGGGAACCCAGGTGATGGCTGGCAGCAGAGCGAGCACGGGACCACCACAGCAGCTCCAGCTCCAGCAAACGCCGCCCCCGCGTGCCGAGCCAACGGGGCCTTTCAGCACACGGGTGGAAGACAAGGAGCCAGCCCAATCTTGGTCGCCTGGAGCCCACAAAGGGTGGCACTGCTGTCCCCAGGTCCTCACACAGCCACCGTCACCCACCAGGACTGCACGTTCCCTCTGGGATTCCAGCTAGTGGTATAGAGTTATTTCTCAAACCTCACGGATAACTAATCTTAAAAACTGTTCTAAAATGGCCACAAGTATAAATCTGAGTTTACTTACCATGTACAACAAACCAAACCCAAGCAGTAATTATGGAATTACAGGGTCACATTTTAATTCCTGAATTTTACAGTTCAGCATTAATATCACCACATGTATACAAATGGTGTAAAACAAGTACAGTGGTATTTTTAATACAAAATAAACTTCTGTTTTATGGAAAAAACTATACTTCGTATCTACACAGACAGCCCATCTTTTTTCAAACAATAGCTAAAATCAAAATTAACTACAAAAATCTCCAAAACAGAGAAACTGCTTCAGTTTAAACTATTCCAGGAGAAATGGACCCATAACACATATTACAAGAGTGATCTATGTGGTGGATTGCAGCTGGTTTCATACTCGAACATTTCTGACACATTAATTTCCTCTCACTTCATCATGATCTTAGATCACGTATGGGCAAACTAACATTAAAATATTTACAGTTCACTCGCTGCTCTGGAAAATAAAACCTGGACTGTTTGCCTCTGTCACCTCGCCACCAACTCGCCTCTTTCTGTCGCAGTTGACTACGTGGAATGTGCTTTTATTGTTTGTAAAAAAGCAGCTTCTGCCCGACACCCGGATTCAGGTGCTGCTCGTCCATTTGCCTCACAGCCCAGCGCACGGCTCGGAACAATTCCCTCTTGCTCCAAAGTGACTTTGGTGTTGAAAACGCCGCTCGATTCATCGCCAGGAAAACAGCCCGTTAGTGTTTCTCACTCCCACCTCCACGAGGCCCCCGCAGCCTGGCGGGCAGGGAGCTGGGCTGCTGGGGAAGAGGCAGCTCCTTCAGCGGGCTCTGCCGCGGCGGAGCCCCTCGCTCCTGGGCGCAGACGTCGCTGGCTGTCGAAGGGAACAAGAAGCAAACCCACCCACTCTGAATCCAGCGTCCGTCTCCTCCTCTTGAAAAACACAGATGGAAACCTGGTTTTGACTGTTTCCACCAGCCGAGCGTGCAGCCTGAGCTCCCTGTGCCCGGGAGCAGTGCCGGGCCCTCGGGGAGCAGTGGTCCCCAAACCCCGATTGTTCGGATGCAAACCGAGCTAGTTTTCCCTTAAAATCTTCTTAAAAGAGGCATTGCTAAAAGAACACAACTGACAGCACCGTTACAAAATTAAGATTACTGGGTTCAAAATTTAAGCTTAAATTATTATTTTTTTTTTTTTTCCTAGTTCTGTTAAACACTGGGGAAACCCTGCAATATTTTTTAAAAAGTGTTTACCATACCTCTCCCTCCCCCTGCCCTCCCCACACCTGAGACTGTCCTGCTGAGAAGCCATCATCCAGGTTCTGTGAATACTAACCCATTTTTTTTTTTAATTTTTTTTCTTTTTTTTTTTTTTTTTTTTGACAGCCTGAATGCAGACTCCTTACTTACTAGAAAGACATTAAGTTCCTTGGAAGCCGTGTGTTTACAGAACTAACCCTTTCTAGCTGGTACACTGAGTTTCTTTTGCTACTCCTTGTATTATCTTACATACTCGTGGGAGACAGCTTTCTGAATCAGATCCTTTTTAGCTCTTAAAACAGTTGCAGCATTTGAAACCCCGTAATAAAGTTTTTATTCCAGAGTTTTGGTTTCATTTATGAACCCAGACGAGGTCTTTTCCTTGGAGATGTCTCCTCCTCTTCGTCATCATCTTCATCATCAGGATAATCCACTAGGCCAACTAGACTTCCCTGTTGATTTAAAAACACAGAAAGAAAATCTCACATTGAAAAAAATACCCAGGAATGGGCAATTTTAGCACCTAACCCCCAGCCCACCCATCTGGACACAGCAGCCTGCAGCAAAGGCTTCCTGGTGATGCCTTTTGCATTCAAATGCTCATCTTGAGAATTTTTTGAACCTCAAGGTTAAAAAAAGTGCTGGGACTGCCTCTCCTCTCTGGATCTGGCCTCAGAAGGATGACCTAGGGCATGGCACCTGCTTCAGAACACTCATTCCCCAGCAGGGGGGCACTAAATAGTTCAGGAAAAACCTATCTTGTATGCCTACCACATGCAGAGCAGCAACTGGACAGTTGAAGCTGAGGAGTGGGAGCAGTTCCATCAGGCAGAAGATGTGAGACTAAGCTGTACCCACCAGATCACCCAGAGGCTCCAGTCCCACCCGATACTTCCTGAAACCCTTCCCAAACCAGCGAAGGTTCCACTAGGCAGAGCTCAGGATGAACTGACACCTCAGGACACCCAGGCTGCAGACTAACGCCGACCTTACCACAGGACAACGGGTAAAGCCTCCTAACAGTGCTCCACTGCCCCAGGCAAGGACAGCAGCTGTCCTCCCAGCTCTCCCACCTTCGTGGCCGCCACCGCCGTGGTCAGGGTCGTGCTCTTGGAGGAGGAGCCGTTGGAGCTCGCCGGTGGTGTCTGAGCTGCCACGGATTTGCTGTTTGCACTGTTTGCACCATTGGCTGCGCTGGCTGAGTGGGAAAAAGTGAATTTGAATCCCCCAGCAGAAGTCCTTTTTGGAAGATTCTCTTTGTCTTCACTCTCCTTAGCTGAGGGACAAACATTTTCATACTTAAGTATCAGCTGTACACCATGGAGGACAACCCACATCACAGCACCATCACAGGGCAAGAGCTGCTTGCTTTATTTTAATTCAGCATAAAAGAACAGCTCAGCCACTGCCCTCACCCAAAGCATGGCAGCACTGAGACCAAGCCTGGCACAGATGCTGGGGACACAGGACATGGCTCACCCAGCACCTGTCCAGTTCTGCCTCTGAACATCACTTAAACCAGGTGTGCACTTAGAGCACTGAGCTCATCATTCTAGAATCACAGAATCATTGAGGTTGGGAGAGACCTTTAAGATCATCAAGTCCAACCATGAACCCAGCACTGCAGGGTCACCACTAAACCATGTCCCTCAGCACCACATCATCTCAACCCCTCCAGGGGTGGGGACTCCACCACTGCCCTGGGCAACCCTTGTGGTGAAGAACACGTTCTTGATGTACAACCTCAACCTCCCCTGCTGCAACTTGAGGCTGTTTCCTCTTGTCCCATCTCTTGTCCCTTGGGAGCAGAGCCCGACCCCCCCCCTGGCTCCAGGCTCCTGTCAGGAGCTGTGCAGAGCCAGAAGGTCTCCCCTGAGCCTCCTTTGCTCCAGGCTCAGCACCCCCAGCTCCCTCAGCTGCTCCTCCCCACACTTGGGCTCTAGATCCTTCCCCAGCAGCTTCATTGCCCTTCTCTGGCCACGCTCCAGCCCCTCAAGGGCCTTCTCTGAGGGGCCCAAACTGACCCCAGGATTCAAGGTGCTAATTTAACCCTAAACAAGCTTGCAAAGCCATGTTAGGAACTCATTACCCAATGACAAGGAATATCCTACTCCTGCTTATGAGACCAAGCACAAGCAACTCGTTTGCTGACACAACATTCCCCATATCTGGCACAGAACAAACACTTCCAGTGCCAACAGGATGAAAACTGAGTAAATACCTTTTTTAGTTTCCATAAATTTTTCATAGCTATCTGGAAAATCATCCTCCTGTTTTGACTTCTCAACTGGAGGTACAACAGCTTCACCTTCTTCCTCTTCATCCTCATTGAACCACATTTCTTCATCCTCCTCCAAGGCTCTGGCATCTCTGCGAAATCTATTGCTACGCAATATAGATGGGACACTGTAAGAGACACACGACAAGTGATTCCAGTTTTGCTGCTCACTCACACTCCACCAGGATCAGAGATGGCTCCTGAGGCTTTCAGGTGGATTCAGTGTGTCTGAGGAGAGTCCAGCTGCATCCCAGCTCCACTGCCAGTGTGAGCCTCAGCAGGACCTCAGCAGAACCCTAACTCAGGGACAGAAGA